CAAGCAGCAGGGCCCTTGTTCCGTCCAAGAATAGTATCCTTTCACGAGCTGGAGCCGTCCCATGTAGGAAACCTACCTAATCAAATGCCATGTACAGATAAGAGAACCTTGGGCTTCAAAGCCCAGTGCACGTATTAGAACAATAACATCGAAGGGTGCAGCTTTGCAAGCCGCGACCATCGCCGCCGCACATGCATGTGGCCCCTGCGGCCGTCCTCGCTCCCACCAGTGCCATCGGTGGACAGATATCTCTCCGACCAGACCACCCCTCCTCCATTCACGCACCTTCATCTATCACGACGTCTCCTCTAGCTGGCTGCCTGGCACCGCCGTGCCGTCGTACACATCACTCGAAGACATTGACATTGCGATAAAAGCAGCGCTTATCCGCGTCTTGCGTTTTAACTGTACATGTTTCCTCCTCACTTCTCGCCACAAGTTGCTCTTGGAGTGCAACATTTGGAGCGGAATACCGCAAGAAGTCGTGGGGGTAAAGGAGCGTGTTGACTGGTTGTTGAGTAGACCTCTACCAGAAGGAGCGATAATAACGGCACTAAGAGAGCGTTTGATGAGCGGCTGGGACCATACGCGTCTGACTGTCTTGCCAGAGGAGTACCCATCAGATGGGAAGCAACCGGGAGTGCAAATGGCGAAGTATAAGCACTGGATGGGGCTGCCCTTTTCGGGAGCCGCAGCCGTCATGTGGCCAACACATGCTAAGGTTTTCATTCCTCGTTTAGCACATCGTAAGCTAATGCAGTTTCGTTTATGTTGCTGGGCTTTGGAGGCGAACAGAGCACGAAGGGGCAAGTACCATGTCCCCAGGGGGCAGCGGTTTTGCCACTGTTGTGGTCCTAATAGCCGAATTGAGGATGAAAAACACGTGTTATTGGAATGCCCAGCCTATAATGATATTCGTGCTGAAGAGGGATTCGATCATCAACAGAGTATGTTGGAGGCCATGCAATGGGAACCCGCACGTCTGGCGAGGATGTTGGAACGTATGTGGGCTCACCGAAACTCAATTACCCCCTTTGGACGCTAGTCTGGGCTGATGTGCGGTGTTTTTTCCTTTTTCTCCGTGGCTTTTAGGCGTTGTAGTATTGCCCTTGGGCCCTCGGCTCGTATGGGTAGTCTTACAGGTATGGGGTCACGCACCCCCAACCATGTAACACACACACACACACACAAGTTGCTAAGCGCGCTGTTTCCCAGGCCCTGTAACTTATATCCCCCAAGCTAGTGCTATGTGTGTGTGTGTTACATGGTTGTGGGGTGCGTGACCCCATACCTGTAAAACTACCCATACGAGCCGAAGGCCCAAGGGCAATACTACAACGCCTAAAAGCTACGCAGAAAAGGAAACACCGCACATCAGCCCAGAATAGCGTCCAAAGGGGGTAACTGAGTTTCGGTGAGCCCATATACGTTCCAACATCCTCGCCAGACGTACTGGCTCCCATTTCATGGCCTCCAACATGCTCTCTTGATGATGGAATCCCTCTTCAGCACGAATATCATTACAGGATGGGCATTCCAATAACACGTGTTTTTCATCCTCGATTCGGCTATTAGTACCATCGGCATGATATGTTGCTGATACAGATAAATAGAGCCCTCCTGATTTCCAGTGTAGCCTTATTTTTTCCTCCTTTTTCGCTGCCTTTGGTTGCTGTTCTTTTGTCCGCATATTGCGGGTATGTAGGCTTCAGCAGAGCTTAGCTACGTTCCCACGGTCCCCACGTTTCTTGCCTGTTTTTAGCCTCGGGTAATGCTGGTCCACCACAGCACATACACCCCTTGTTAAGAAACCCGCAGCTGTAGTATTCTTGGATTATCGCGGGATCTGCATCCACCGATCGGTTCTTTTCCGAAAAAGTCATGATATAACAGCAGCATAGTATAACAGCAGCAGGATCGCATAGAGCTGCACGCATATGTGACCCTTATGCTGGCATGCACACCCAGCCATTCCCACGTACGGCATATCGACTCTAAACTCAAGGAAAACGCCGTGTGCTTTGCTGAGGTTCCCCAGATTGACACTTATCCTGTCGTACTGCTTCCATGAATGCACACGTGAATGCACATGTTCTGGTTTCTGGTGATTTGTGACCTGTTTGCGGAAATTCAACGGTGCATTCGAGATCATTCCCATTATTTCCGTCTGCTGTCGTACGTGCCGTTGTACGTCATGTTGACGGCCACGTCCATGCCCTTACGCTGGAAGGCCTTAGACGACCACCAACTTGGCTGTTTACTTGCTCCATTGGCAGAAGGCGCTGAAAACATGGTGCGGGAAGGTTGCAAAGATAGTTTAGATCCTCCATCCATCCTGCGTCGCTATCCGCGGCCGCAGTCGCCATCGCCGCCGCTTCCGCAGAAGCAGTGGGAAACACAGCCATGCCAACTGCCGTTGAGTTACCGGGGTCCGGCATTTCATTTCTAGAAAAACGGCAACAAATATTTATAAAACGTCAAGAACGGCCATTACAAAGCCAAACCTTAAAGTCAAAAACCTACACAACTTACAAATACTTATCGTCAGCTATTAAATAATATAATGCTTTCTGCCAAACATGAAAATGAAAATGAAGCCAAACATAATGTTTGTGGAATAAACGTAGTTGTCCCATTCGTCCCCACGGTCTTTCCCTTTGGGTTCCCCCTTTGGGGGTTAAGGCAGTCCGTTGCCTGATGTGGAACCGTTGCCTGAACAGGCTGGGAGTAAGGGAACACGGCTGGCGTGACTCGTTCACACCGGGCTCCTGTTGCTAAGGCTACACTGGAAAACTGGAGGGCTCCAATTATCCATGTGGCCACTCTTCATCAGCAACATGTCATGCCGATGGCCCGGCCCGGCCATCACGCCACCACCAGTGCCATGCAAGTACGGATGGCGTGACGAGACAGGCGTGTGTAGGAGTAGCCCTCGGGTATAGGTGGGTCATAGCAAGGGGTGTGGGTGAGTAGTGGCTAACCGGGCAGTGGGGGCGCTCGGGATGGCTGATGGGATGTGGACAGGCGCTTGGACGGTGCGCGGCGATGAGGCCAAACATAGCACTAGCTTGGCACTAAGAGAGCGTTTGATGAGCGGCTGGGACCATACGCGTCTGACTGCCTTGCCAGAGGAGTGTACCCATCAGATGGGAAGCAACCGGGAGTGCAAATGGCGAAGTATAAGCACTGGATGGGGCTGCCCTTTTCGGGAGCCGCAGCCGTCATGTGGCCAACACATGCTAACGTTTTCATTCCTCGTTTAGCACATCGTAAGCTAATGCAGTTTCGTTTATGTTGCTGGGCTCTGGAGGCAAACAGAGCACGAAGGGGCAAGTACCACGTCCCCAGGGGGCAGCGTTTTTGCCGCTGTTGTGGTACTAATAGCCGAATCGAGGGTGAAAACACGTGTTATTGGAATGCCCAGCCTGTATGGATATTCGTGCTGAAGAGGGATTCCATCATCAACAGAGCATGTTGAAGGCCATGAAATGGGAGCCAGCACGTCTGGCGAGGATGTTGGAACGTATATGGGCTCACCGAAACTCAGTTACCTCTTTTGGACGCTAGTCTGGGCTGATGTGCGGTGTTTCCTGTTCTCCGTGGCTTTTAGGTGTTGAAGTATTGCACATGGGCCTTCGGCTCGTATGGGTAGTTTTACAGGTATGGGGTCACGCACCCCACAACCATGTAACACACACACACATAGCACTAGCTTGGGGGATATAAGTTACAGGGCCTGGGAAACAGCGCGCTTAGCAACTTGTGGCGAGAAGTGAGGAGGAAAATGTGCAGTTAAAACGCAAGACGCGGATAAGCGCTGCTTTTATCGCAATGTCAATGTCTTCGAGTGATGTGTACGACGGCACGGCGGTGCCAGCCAGCCAGGCAGCCAGCTAGAGGAGACGTCGTGATAGATGAAGGTGCGTGAATGGAGGAGGGGTGGTCTGGTCGGAGAGATATCTGTCCACCGATGGCACTGGTGGGAGCGAGGACGGCCGCAGGGGCCACATGCATGTGCGGCGGCGATGGTCGCGGCTTGCAAAGCTGCCCCCCTTCTATGTTATTGTTCTGATACGTGCACTGGGCTTTGAAGCCCAAGGTTCTCTTATCTGTACATGGCATTTGATTAGGTAGGTTTCCTACATGGGACGGCTCCAGCTCGTGAAAGGATACTATTCTTGGACGGAACAAGGGCCCTGCTGCTTGCCGTAAACCTCTGGGGCAAGATCTTTATTCAGATGAAAACATACATAAGCCTCCCGCGACTTATGTGATTCCGCGCTCACCGTCTCTTTGACTTCTCTGCTGTTTCTTGCGGTTGGAGTTTGCTCGTATGTGTAATAAGCGATAAACCTGGTAAGGGGCCTGCCTGGACGCTTTAGCTACAGCGAAATTGAAATGTAATGGCTTATGATAATATGGACTAATACCAAGTCCAGGCATCTGCTGCATTGTGCTTTCGCTAGAGAGCAACCGCTCGGACCTTTCCTGGCCTTCAATGCCCCTCCCTTAGCCGGATGGCGTACAGCGCTGCAATTATGTATGTAGACAACACTTTGTAACTGAAGACCTGCAGGATCAATAGATTGGACATCGGAGGTGCTGCCGCGCCGTTCCCAGCACTGATTTTTGGGGCGCACTGCCAACGCCTTTTTCAGCTCACCGGAGCATTATTCAGACACAAACTTGGAGGCTTTATCTGTTTTATCTCANATCGGGAGGATGAATGAACACATCTTCCAGGATCAGTTTCCGTTCTGCGCAGGCGTTTCGCATTTCATCCACATATGGAAATGAGCTTTGCAGCATTGCATGCTTATCCTTATGATGCCAAGTGTTAAGCACACCTTACATTTGCCACCAGCTTCCTGGCGCCGGACTAAACGGGAAATCTGCCACCTCCGTATCGGCATCTTTCCCACCTTCTAACTCTTCAATCTTTTCCCTGCCGTCGCAACGCATGACATCTCTTCCCGATGCCTACCCTCAGGACAGTATTTTGTAAAGTTGGCTTCCGCTTGACATCCATCTCGCAACCTTCGTCTCCGCTAGGTGCTGCGAACCGCTCGCTGGATGGCATCGGTGAGCGGAAGCTTCAATTGGTGGGATTGGGGGCCCGGGGGCAAGGAGACCAGGAACCGTCGTACATGGCCGTACGCATGTGGGGGAGCTAGCAAGGCTAGCAAGGGCCCGGCAAATGCTCCGATGTCTCTTTTCCATAAGTTTGTAAGTCTGTCTGCGTGCGATGTACTGCTCAGGCCCTTCATCACAACCACCGTACCACCACAACCATAATCACCACTGCCACCGCAACTACCGCCACCGCGATCAGAGCGACTGCCACAGCGACCATGCCTGCTACAATGCCCACTGCTGCTGCCACTGCCACCAACACGACCTCAACGTATTGCCCCACTGTCACGTGCATCTTGCAATTGGCTGGGTCGTCAGCCCACTTCGTAGCGCTGTGTGTGTGAGGCTGGCGTTGTTGCTTACCCAGCAGACCCCTCACAGACTCACAGCTGACCCCCGAAGGATGTCTGGGAATCTGGACTTGGGCGCAGCTTGTAATTGTTTCCGCCATACTCCACCACGTTCTGTTTCCTCTTCTCTTGCTCATCCCGCCCCTACCCACCGCTCGCCCCTCTGCAATCTGTAGCCAAAACTCGGCTCAGAGCGTCCATTCGGAAGTGAGCTCCCTGTCTCAAGTCCTGGCGAATGGTGAGCCGCCCAGGCCCAAAATCGACCTGTCCGCTTTCTTGGTTGTCAACCCCTGGAGCGGGCTTCCGGACGACGACGACGATCTGCCCCCCGAGCCTGCTGTCAACCTTTCCAACAAGCTCAATCCGAACATCCACTACGACCGAGAGCTCGCCGCGAGGTGGGCGAATAGAATGGGTTCGTGCGGGGGCTTGTTTTAGAGCGCAGTCGTGCTTGCTTCACGTTGTTGGGCGTGGGGGGTTTTAGGGACATGTGAAGGCTGTGAACTGGCCCATGCCGCCAGGCACCTGTGTTACAGTACTGTGGGGGCTGCCGTTGTTATGGCGATGGTGGTCGTGATGGTGGTTGTGATGGCGGTTATGAAGGTTCCAATTTGACAATTCAACGGAAAAGCCCACTGCACACCAGAACGTGGGTCCCCAGGGGGCAGCGGTTTTGCCACTGTTGTGGTCCTAATAGCCGAATTGAGGATGAAAAACACGTGTTATTGGAATGCCCAGCCTATAATGATATTCGTGCTGAAGAGGGATTCGATCATCAACAGAGTATGTTGGAGGCCATGCAATGGGAACCCGCACGTCTGGCGAGGATGTTGGAACGTATGTGGGCTCACCGAAACTCAATTACCCCCTTTGGACGTTAGTCTGGGCTGATGTGCGGTGTTTTTTTCCTTTTTCTCCGTGGCTTTTAGGCGTTGTAGTATTGCCCTTGGGCCCTCGGCTCGTATGGGTAGTCTTACAGGTATGGGGTCACGCACCCCCCAACCATGTAACACACACACAGAACGTGGGTTCAGGAGTGAAGTGGCGCCGAGGGAACGTTTTGGTGAGAGAAAAGAACCAGCCTCCAGTTCAGAGATTGCATTACAAACGGCGTCGCACAGCCGCCCCGCCAGGACCAGAAAGTATCAAGAATACAACGATTTAGAACAAAACAGGGAAGACACCGTTCTTCAAGCCTCCAACATCCGCTCCAACCTCGCTTCCCTCCGCAACTTTGAATAGCTTTTATATCTTGATATGATGCATCTTCCCCTCCGACTACGGGTCTCGTTCTCTTCGCAACCAGCCTGGGCTTTCCGAGAGCACACACTCCTACCACCGACGCAGCATCCTGGCATCTCGCGCTTATTCGCGCTTTCCCCCTCAAGTTTTCCCCTTAACGCTTTCCCCTCACGCTTGTTCACTCGTACTTCCCCCTCACGCTGCCCCCCACCGCTGCGGCCTCGGCAGCCGTAAGCGGCTATGGCGGCGGCCAAAACGGGTTGTCCCCGGTCTGGACAACTTCAGGGCTGCGCAGACCGCAGCACTCAGCGAATGCGGTGATGCATTGGCCGCACATGGGGGCTGAGGCGATCGGCCAGCTAGGAGATCACGGCGCCGATGCAGCAGCGTCAGCCGCCGCCGCCGCTGCTGGGCTTGGCGGTGAGGTAGCTGTACAGGTGCAGCAGGAGCAGCTTCAAGCTCTTACTTGCAGCAGCAGTAGCAGCATCAGCAGCTGCTGCGAGAGCTGGTGAAAGCTGGGTTCGGTAGTGGTAGCAGCGCCAAGGCTCTCTTGGATGACGTGGTGATGGCGCAGGCACTCGCGGATTCGAGCCTAGGTCTTGTCGCCGTGTCAGTGGCAGCATGGCCGCCGTCAGCTGGGCAAGGCGCCTCTGTGTTTCATGGCGTTGCGCAGGTGCGAGTACCGCCAGGTTCGAACTGGTCTTCGGGTCCATCCGGACCCGGCTGGCGAGTCGATTAAGTTGCGCCGCCTCGGATGAATTGGCAAGGATCCCCGGGGCCAGCGGGGGCCAGCGCTGTCCTGGCCCTCGCCTGCTTCAGCAGCATCCACATCGGCAATGACGACAACCACCAGCACCAGAGGCTGCCAACACTGTTGCGTGCCAGAACTCAGGAAGCAAGGCGGCCGTTAGGCGTGAGATGCAATCGTATTGTCCACCTCTGCATTGAGCACCCCATTGCATGTCTCTGTATCCAGTAATCCTTTCCTCAGAGCTATTTGGCACCCACAGCCAACATTTAGCCGGTGCTACCCACGGATTGTCGTGTATGTCGTACATCTCCCATCTACCCTGCTCCCTTCGTGAGATCATAGTAATCATAGGGATGAATAGCGGGTAGTTAATAGTTAGTAGTTGGTTGTTCACATGGTCCCGGGGCTGCATCTCTACATGGAAGGTGCGCGTTGCGGCTCCTTAGCGGATGCATCACGTGAACCTGGCAATCCCATACAACACCGAGTGGAAGCCAGCGCGCTAATTTCCCCTCGCCTCACTGTATGTTGGCACATTGTTGGCACAACCTGAGTACCTGGGACCGTCGGTGCACTTGGTAACATGCCGGGTCCTCCGCCTGCGTCTCTGCAACCCTGACACAACCCTGACACATGGTATACCTTGTAATGGCCACACAACGGAGTTGTCGCAAGAGTTCCGTACTCGATTCAGTAAGACGTCCTAATGTATATTTCCACCACAACACTTAAACCTGGCCTGGTAATAGGGTTGCTGTCATCACCCCTGGCAACGACGGTGGTTTACAGGCGGTGGACAATGGACGTGGCCGTCAACATCACGTACAACAGCACGTACGACAGCAGACGGAAATAATGGGAATGAAATCGTATGCACTGTTGAAGCCTATCTACCCGCCAATCATGCGGACGAAAGAACAGCAACCAAAGGCAGGAAAAACGGAGGAACAGAAGCCTACAACCTTAATGGCCTAATGGCCGTAAGTTTGCCGCACGCATCTGCGGGATTTGTGATTGCAGAGCTGTTGGGAATCTGCTGCCATGTTATTCGTCAATGCCCAGCTAACGAGGGCCTATGGGTACAACAGCAAAGGGACCTTGGTTACGAGGGTGCTTAACGCTTACTATTCTTGCCGAGCCATGGCCTACCGAATAACTGAAAACCCTTGTACACGGATATGAACCCTAACACAATCAACAGGCCAGGTTTAGGTGTTCTGGTGGACATATACATAAGGACTTGTTACTGAATCGAGTACGAAACTCTTGCGACAACTCCGTTGTGTGGCCATTACAAGGTATACCTCGTGTGAGAGGTGTGTCAGGGTTGCAGAGACGCGGGCGGAGGACCCGGCATATTACCAAGTGCACCGACGGCCCAGATACTCAGGTTGTGCCAACATACAGTGAGGCAAGGGGAAATCAGCGCTCTGGCTCCCACTCGGTGTTGTATGGGATTGCCAGGTTCACGTGATGGATCCGCTAAGGGGCCGCAACGCGCACCTTCCATGCAGAGATGCAGCCCCGGGACCATGTGAACAACCAACTACTAACTATTAACTAACCGCTATTCATCCCTATGATTACTATGATTACCTGAGGCTCACGAAGGGGGCAGGGTAGATGGGAGATGTACGACGATTTCACGCCTAATGGCCGCCTCCTGCTTCCTGAGTTCTGGCACGCAACAGTGTAGGCAGGCTCTGGTGCTGGTGGTCGTCGTCATTGCCGATGTGGATGCTGCTGAAGCAGGCGAGGGCCAGGACAGCGCTGGCCCCCGCTGGCCCCCCCCGGGATCCTTGCCGATTCATCCGAGGCGGCGCATCTTAATCGACTCGCCAGCCGGGTCCGGATAGATCCGAAGACCAGTTCGAACCTGGCGGTACTCGCACCTGCGCAACGCCATGAAACACAGAGGCGCCTTGCCCAGCTGACGGCGGCCATGCTGCCACTGGCACGGCGGCAAGACCCAGGCCCGAATCCGCGAGTGCCTGCGCCATCACCAGGTCATCCAAGAGAACCTTGGCGCTGCTACCACTACCGAACCCAGCTTTCACCAGCTCTCGCAGCAGCTCCTGCGGCTGCTGCAAGTAAGAGCTTGAAGCTGCTCCTGCTGCGCCTGTACAGCTACCTCACCGCCAAGCCCAGCAGCGGCGGCGGCGGCTGACGCCGCCGCAGCGGCGCCGTGATATCCGAGCTGGCCGATCGCCTCAGCCCCCATGTGCGGCCAATGCATCACCGCATCCGCTGGGGGCTGCGTTCTGCGCACCCCTGAAGTTGTCCAGACGGGGGACAACCCGTTTTGGCCGCCGCCATAGCCGCTTCCGGCTGCCGAGGCCGCAGCGGTGGGGGGCAGCGTGAGGGGGAAGTACGAGTGAACAAGCGTGAGGGTGAAAGCGTTAGGGGGAAAGCTTGAGGGGGAAAGCATGAAGAAGGTTCGAGGAGGAAAGCGCGAGAAAGCGCGAGTCACCGTACCTAACCTTACATAACCTCTAACACATTCATAAGTCGCCATGTTGTGTTCTGCCCCGACCTGTCTGGGACCGCATTGGCTCCCGTATCAGTAGCAAAACATGGCTCCAAACTGAACTCTACCACCCGCCAGATTACCTCTCTGGTTGCTCAGGTTGGGTGGGTTATGGTGGGGATCGGTTGCACCATCCTCTGGGTCTGTCTACCCCTCCCGTATCCCCTGAGTAGAAAGCGTAAGTATGCCACAGGGAGTTCACTGTCTGAGGCTAGCGAAAGGCAGGGTATATGGGAGATGTATGACATCCACGACAATCCATGGGTATCGCCGGCTAAGTGTCGGCTGTGGGTGCCAAAATAATTCGAAGAGTACATCACTTAGAATGAGGATGTCAATCTCTCGCGGAAACGAATACTGGGTACAGAGGTGTGCAAAGCTCCCTCCCTAAACTGAAAACCAAAGCAAGGATGGCACGTTCTCTGTACGAAACACAATTTTCATGGACCCTCAAAACCATATCCCGCAACCGCGTCCTTCAACCGTATTTTTGATCGCAATATCCCAAAAATGCCACTTGCGGACAATAATGCGGTTGCGTTTCGTTCCGTTGCCCGACGGAATTCGTCAACACACCTCACGGGCCTGACACGCTCTTTAGCCTTCATGACCACCACCTTGAGCCATACATACATACATACATACAAACATACATACAAACAAACTAAGTGGGCCGCTGGTGAAGCTATACCACCCTGTAACAACATCATACAAGCTGTTGGGGTTAGGAATAAAGGGAAAACGGACTGATGACCAAGCATGCTCGAGTATATTTATTTTCAGGAACAGCGGGAAGCTCTAGCTTTTCATCCCGCATGTTTCCTCCTCTTGGCCTCTCGCAGCGAAGTGCATGGAAAAAAAGTTGTATATGTATAGCTGTGTGTATATGGACGCCCCACGAAAAACGAGCTGCGTCACGTGAACGTTGCTCAAGAGGAATCATGCGAATCGAGTACGCTTGTTTTAGGTACAGGCAGCTTATTTAACGACAGTTTCACGTACAGACCTGAGATGACGTAGCTCAGTGTCCGTACACCAGCACGTGATCGTCGCAGTACAGCCACGTACTCGTGAACTACATATTTTGAATATAAAACGAATTATGGCTGTAGCCCTACGTAACAAACATATTGTCCTGCGCATTATACCTAGCTGCAATGTGCGAACCCAAATGAAGATTCCGTTGGAACGGAATGTTTGAACACACGTCGATCGATCACCCGTGTTTTAATCAAAGTGACAATTGCGGCGAGTCCAAGCGTGTCCATCGTCACTCTAGGCCACGCAGACTTTCAGCAACAAGTGGTACTCGCACAGAAAACAGCACCCGCCCGTCAAACACCGGTGCAGTCCATCCGACGCGTGAGAGCGCTTCCGCAGTAGCTTGCTTGGCGTCAGCGGCGTCTGTAACTCCTGCTGGTGCTGCTGCTGCTCCTGCGGCTGCTGCTGCTGCTGCTGCTGCTGCTGCTGTTGGTGTTGCTGTTGCTACTGCTGCTATTGCCACTGCTACTGCTGCTGTTACTACAGCTGCTACAATTGCTGTGCTACTGCCGCTACTATTGCTGTGCTACTGCCGCTACTGTTGCTGTGCTACTGCCGCTACTTTTTGCTGTGCTACTGCTGCTATTACTGCTGCTGCTGCTGTTCCTGCTGCTGTTCCTGCTAGCGCTGTTGCTGCTGTTGCTGCTGCTGCTGCTGTTTCTAGTACTGCTGCTGCTCCTGTTGCTGCTGCTGCTACTGCTGCTGCTCCTGTTGCTGCTGCTGCTACTGCTGCTGTTGGCGCTGCTGCTGTTGGCGCTGCTACTGCAGCTGATACTGCTGATACTGCTGCGCATGGAATGAACCCACAGCCGTCGCCGCCGTCTCCACCAAAAAACCACATATCCTCGGTGTTTGCGATCGCCGTATCCGCCGCCTGGCCCGATGATGCCTGCCCCGCCGTTCCCGCGCCCGCGCCCGCACCGAAGCCCGAGGCCCAATCCGGCCCGCCCGGTACGTCGTGAATTCGATCCCCCGGCGTCATTGTCAGCGTCAGCGCCGGCATTGGCGTCAGCATCAGCGTCGGCGTCGGTGTCGGCGCTGGCGCTGGCGCTGGCCCTTTTTCCAGATCCAAATCGAAGATCCAGTCTCCCAGCAGCTCCAGATCCATCTCTGCATTTGCCCCGTGCTGTGCATCATCACTATCATCCTGCTGCTCAGTCATCTTTGAGACCTTGACATGACCTGGGTCGTGGTTGGTGAACTGTCGCACCAGCTGATCATCCGGCAAGGCAGGACTTCGCCTCGAGTTCAGTACAGCATCAGGTAGCCAGGGCTCTAGGTCCGGACCCCGCCGGTGTGCGAGGATTGAGGGGGGCCTTCCGTTGAGGGATAGTTCGACAGCCTTGGCGGCGGATACCTCCTCGACCCATGGTGCGCTGGAGACGTGAGCTACGGCAGAAGAGCGTAAGGCGCCTAACGGCTCGTTGCTAGGTGGTTTGACCTGGTAGCCTGATAGCGGAGGTGACATGGGCACCACTGGCGTGTGCCCTGGGACTTGCTGCTGCTGCTGCTGCTGTGGCGGCGGCGGCGGCGGCGGCTGCCGTACCTGCTGGTCCATAAACGGTACCTCTACTGGTTCATTGGGATAGTGCTCGTACTGCTCGTACTGCTTGTACTGCTTGTACTGCTCGTACTGATCGTACTGATCGCACTGCTCACGTTGCTGTTCAGGATGCTGATGCGTGTCCTGATGCGTCTCCGCATCCTGTGCTTGCGGCTGCAACAAATGGTGTCGTTGGCGCTTCGCCTTACGCTTCCGCTTCTGCACCTGACGCTGTTCCATGGCAAACCGCAATGCCCACCTGCCTACCGGGCCCACAGCGTTGAAGGTAATGGGAGGCTCAGCGTCCTCTGAGCCGGAGCCGTCGGCGTCGGCGTCGGCGTCGCCGCTCTGGGCGTTATTATTTTCGGGTGCGGCACGGGGCCCGGCAATGCTGTCAGCGCCGGCGGCGGCGCCGCCGCCGCCGCCGCTGGCGGCCGCGCCGGCGGCGGCGGTCACGTCAGCTGGTCCCCTACATAACGGCGAGCGGCTATTAGCAGCTTGATAGTTTGGGCCGCTCCGGGGAAGGCTTTTGATCAGGTTTATGACCTGCGCGAGGTTATACAAGATCGTTGGACCCGTTGCGCCGCGATCCGTACCGCCGCCGCCGCCGCTGCTGCCGGGGCCGCCGCCGCTGGAAGGTGCTGCAGCGGGGATACCGTTTTCGTCGTCGTCAGTCAAGTTGTCAGGTACGACAGGTAAAGCCGGTGTCGGACGGGGGGGATTAACAGGGTTATGATCCCCGCTACCCCCCGCTGCTTGCCTGGGCACCGCCGTCGGTACTGCTGTCCATCCTGCTGCAGCATCGTCAACGTCGACAGTGCTGTTAGCTGCAGCTGCTGTCGCGGCTACTGTTGCTGTTCTGGCAGCCGTGTGTGCGACATGCATCTGCTGAGCTGGCTTGCCGCTGTCTAGCTTGTTGGGGGGAACTAATGTTACGCCTTCTTCCCTCCGGCCGCTGGTCCTGCCGCCACCGCGGCCGCCGCCGCCGCCTTCGTAGCTGCCACAGTAGCCATCGGCGCCTCCGCCATCGGCGCTTCCGGTCCTGTTGCCCCCGCCGCCATCGTCGCGGTTGTCACCCTTGTCCGCAATGGCGCTGACGCCGTTCCCATCTCCAGCGTTGCCCGCGCTTGCAGGCCGATTACGGCCGTTGCCGGTTGCAGTGTGTGCTGGCCGCCCTGTTGCGCCCGAAGACCGGCGTTGAGGCCTTGGCGGCGGAAGGAAAACGCCTCTGGGCTTTTGCTGCGTCTGCAACGGTGCCTCTGCCGCTGAAGGCGGCATTGGATTCGGCAGCAGCCTGGAATCCAGCATCTTCCTGTCGCCCTGATCCGGATCCGGATCCGCCATTCGTGGGGGTAGATGCTTAGGGTTAATCTGCCGCTGCACAGGTGCCTGCAGCGAATCGTACGGGTATCGCGGCGGCATGTACGGCTGATGCTGCTGATGCTTGGGGTAGGGAGACGTGCTTTGCTGGCGCTCCCACAACCCGGATGTGTCTGTCGGGTTGCGCCGGGACGGCTGGTGCAGGTCTGCCTCCATCAGCATCACCATGTTTACTGCTGGCGGCGGCAGCGGATGATGTACGACGTTCCCACGGAGATCCAGGCTGTGATCCCGTGGGCTCTTCACCGTCATCTCACCTCCCGCCGCAGCAGCTCCCCTACGTACATCCACATCCTGTACGAAATACGACATGCCGCCGTCAGCATGTACGACAGCATCATCGACAGGATTATCCTGATCGGCCCGTCCGGCACAGGCGCCCTGTGGAAAGCTGTCGTCCAGGTCGTCGAACAACGACGCCAGGCCGTATGCGGTAGACGGGCTTAGAGCGATGGGGCCCGAAGGGACTGGCCGTGGCGACGGCGGTTGCAGGGCGGCTGCCGCCGGCGGGAGAAGAACCGCTCCTGTGGTCCCGGCGGCGCGGCCTTGACCTTCCTCCAAATCAAAGTGGCCAGATGGATTAGCTTCGGCGGGGCCTGCAACGGGCGCGAAGTTTCTGCCGCAGCTTCCAACCCAGCGGCCGCCGCTACCGCCGCTGCCGGCAATGTGATCTCGGATATCCGCATCACTGAGAAGATTACAGAGCACTTCATCCAGCGTGCTGTCTGCGACGGGGTTCGATTCCGGCGGCGAGCAACAGTTGCAAATATCCGCCGCCGGAACGGGATGAGTCGCGGTTTCGGAGGCGGCAGCAGCGATTGCAGTACCGGCGGCAGCCGGAGATGTCACCGCCACGGCCCCGGGTGCCGATGTACTGACTTGTGCGCCGCCGCCGCCGCTGCTGCCGCCAGCGGCGGCCCGTGCGTTAACCAACGCCACTCCGCCGCGACCGCCCTGGGCCCCAAGGGCCTCAATCATGCTGCTCCACTGCCTCGGCGGCCCGCGGTTATCACGTGGCTGCTCTTGGCCTGGCGCCTGTTGTAACAACAACACACGCCGTCGGGCTTCTTCCGGCTCCAGGAAAGCTGACGCGAGCTGCAGTGGCTGCAGTGGCGGAATCTCACTAGAAGCTTCGGGTTGAGCTTCCATGATGGTCGGCGTGCCCGCTGATATCTGCATCGGATGATATTGCTCCATATCCGGATTCATGTTCAGGTTCAGGTTCATACTTAGATCCAGATCCAAATCCAAATCCAGATCCAGGTCTATGTGATCAGGATCTGAACACCCAGGTCCAACGGCAGCCCGGACAGCCCCAAGCTGCGCAGGTACGGTGACTTGTACGGCGGTTACTGAAGCTATGGCTTGTTCTCTTCCAGCGCCTGTAGTCTCTGTCGCTGCCGCCGTTACCGCCGTCGCCGCCGCCGCCGCCGCCGTAGTGGTTGGCCCACAGACCTGCAGCGTTGCCTCTTCAGGTTTGACCTCTCCTAGGTTGGCGTTACAGCGGCGGCTGTCGTACAGGCCCTGGCTTGAATTATTATAAGCCAAGGTGTTCGCGCCTCTGCTGATGCCGCTACCGCTGCTGCTGCCGCCGCCGTCGTACCCACCGCCACTACGGCCGCTGCCGCCGATGCCTCTATCGGAGCGAAGGCCGAAGCCGCTGTCAAGCTGGTCGATCCAACGGAAGGGTGATGTATGCGCATGGGTGCATACGTGGGTACTTAAAATCAGTGGTGCATATGTGAACTTCGTGCACATCCAGCCGCAACTGTTGCGGTATGATCTGGCTGGCGGCTACATTTCGAAAATTCATATGTGTGTGTGTCTGTGTGTGTCTGTGCGTGTTGTCTGTCTGTGTCTGTGTGTGTGTATATTGGAAGGATTGCACGGGCGCTTTTTGAGGCCCCCCGGCGCGAACTACAACATTAAATCCAAAGGCTGGAGAGCATGTAACGCTAAGGAAAACTTGACCAGGGCTACGGCAAAGTACGGGCGACGTTCTTCACACTTAGACGTGGTCAAGTTTAAAACATGGTCAAGTTCTTAGCCGGCAAGCCCCGTGTCCCGTAATTCCTTGGCAACACATGCTCTTTAATGCGCGAGGCTGCAACCGAGATGACCGTACACATGTACGATCCAACGACGCCGCTATGTAACCCAAACTAAACACATATACAATTACGATGTTCACTTGACGACATAGTAAAGACAAAGCAACGACCTATGATCACCAAGTACGTACCGTACGGCTGCTGACTCTCATAATTGCCGTACCCTAAACAGCCACAATTACATATTCAGTCAGTCAGTCCTCCCTTACCTCAGCCTCGACCGCCGCAGGGCTCGGGTCGCTGTACGTGCAGGTTGGCGTCACCCCCAACTCACCCCGCCGCCGCTTTGCCTCGGCTGACCCGTAGCGCACGTTGGGTAGGGGGTTGGATGCCCTCTTGGCCATCGCCTGCTGCTGCTGATGATGATAATGATGCTGGCGCAGCTCCTGCTGATGCTGATGCTCCTGCTGATGCTGATGCACAGCCTGATGCGGTGGGTGAGGAAGAAATATATCTTCTTGTTGCCACGTCATTTCGCCCGGTAGCTGTTGCTGATCGTATGAGAAGTGCTGCTGCGGCTGTTGCTGCTGCTGTTGCTGCTGCTGCTGCTGCTGCTGCCGCATGTGCAGCTGTCGGTGGTACGGCTCGTGGCATTGCACCTGGGGCGAGCCTGTATGTATGCATCATAAATGCGGGGCCAGAAGGGATGAAATTGGTCGATTCTGGTCATACCTAAATCGTTTAGATCGCACATAGAGCTGAACAGGAAGACGAAGACTCAATAGTTCTTCGACCAGCACGCCGAGTAGCCGCAGCAGCAGTCCAAACACAGCAGCAGTGAGCAATAAGTCAGCTTTAAGGCAGTTGAGGAAAGGCTGAGCTACCGGTGGAATGGACCGTTGGAATGGACTTGGGAATATGCCGATACCGGACCCAGCATAAGGACTAGCCGGGCCTTCTATGGGACCTGCTATGATACGGTACCGGGCGGTGCCCACCTGAAGAAGCTACACATCATAAGCACACCCCAACTGTCAACCCTGCTGCCTACCTGACACAGGAGGGGCGCCGCTGCCATACGCTTCAGCCGCCACGGTGCTGCCGTACTGCTGTACGACCCGGTGGGAGAATGGGCTGACCAGCAGCTCTTGCTGCTGCTGTAGCTGCTGCGACGGCGGCTGTTGTCGCGCCGGCAGCTGGAGCCTTGGCGGCGGCGGCGGCATTCCATCTTGGGATGCGTGCTTGGCAGCTGTAGCAGTAGTCGCAGTGGCTTCAGCAGTAGCGGCATCAGAGCTAGCGGCACCGTCACCATCACGACCACCAGCACCACCACCACCAGTATCCTTAGAGCAGCCATACAGTTGATTGGTGGTGATTGCGGCGGCCTGCGGTTCGGGAGCTGCCGCCCTGACCGCGTTTCTTTGGCCGCTGTACCCGGAGCCACTCAGTCCTGCCCCAGTTGGTCCCAAGGGAGCCTGCTGCTGCTGCGGTTGCTGTTGCTGCTGCTGTTGCTGCTGCTGTTGCTGTTGCTGTTGCTGTTGCTGTTGCTGTTGCTGTTGCTGTTGCTGTTGCTGCTGCTGTTGCTGCTGCTGTTGCTGTTGCTGCTGCTGTTGCTGCTGCTGTTGCTGCTGCTGTTGCTGCTGCTGTTGCTGCTGCTGTTGCTGCTGCTGTTGCTGCTGCTGTTGCTGTTGCTGTTGCTGCTGCTGTTGCTGCTGCTGTTGCTGCTGCTGTTGCTGCTGCTGCTGCTGCTGTTGCTGTTGCTGCTGCTGGCTCTTAAAAGAAGCCCCAAGGGTTGGCGCCGCGACTGGCAGGGCGGAAGGCCCACCTTGCTGCCTCCCTATCCTTGGAACGTGGTGATTTTGTTGTTGTTGCTGCTGATGCTGATGATGCTGATGATGCTGATGATGCTGATGATGCTGATGATGATGGTGATGATGGTGATGATGTTGGTGTAGTTGAGAGTGCTGGCGCAGCTGCAGTTGCTGCTGGTGATGCATCTTCTGCGGTTGCTGGTGATGATGAGGACGAGGAGGATGATTATGAACACTCTGCATATTCTGCACCTTCTGCTGCTGATGATGATGCTGATGCTGCCGTCCGAAGGATCCATGGGGAAGAGCAGCAGGCGGCGGGTCGTCATTCAGCGGAGCCAGCTGCGCGACCGGCGGGGCGCTAAAGCTTCCTTGCTGTGCCCCCCTCGCTGCCGTAGGACTTGTCTCTCCAAGCTGTAGCTGACGAGGCGGGTGGGCCGGGGCGGCGGGCCCTGGACCGGTATTCCAGGGTCGTGGTTGCCGACCCTGATGAATCGACACCGCTGCGGAGGAGGAGGGCGGCGTACCTGCCGCTGCTGCAGGGATGACGTTGCTCGGGGGACCCGCAGGTTGGGGGCCGTTGATATTATTAATGTTTTGCTGCAGGACAATGTGCCTGCAGGGCGGAGACAAACGGGCAGTGGCAAGCAAGGTAGCGCCGCGGTCGCTCACGCAGTCTCATGCTAGCGGCAACGCGCCGTCGTGATGTATGTAACAGCTAGCTGTTGGCAGTAGGGGCGCACCAGCGGGTCACTCCTCGTGCGAAGGGTGTGCCCCGTAAAGCGATGCTGATTTTGCCATTTTTTGAACTAAATATGTTAAGGGGTCCCGTAGGATATAGTTCAAAAAATGGCAAAATCAGCAAAAAAAACCCGCCGTTGGGATAGATCCGCTAGATACCAGTTGGGCCGTAACCAAGCAGGGTCGGATAATTCAAGCTGGATCAGCTACCCGCCTGGACCCGTCACCTCTATGTCCATGTTGACGGCGATGCCTCCCTCGATCACGCATTCTACCACACAACACCCGCCGCATTTGGACCGTCCTGGAACCGTCCTGCTATTTATTACTTCTGCATCCCGTTGCCCAGGGCAGCGCCGGGGAGAGACCTTCCACTATATAGGTAGCTACGTAGCTAGCAAGCATATTCAGGCACGACTTCTCCAAACACTGCATGAATAGCTCAGAAGTAGTCCATATTCAGAAGATGCATCATGTCTCCCTCCCCCCCCGTTTCGGAGAACTTAAAACCTACCGCTTGCAGCGGCCGCATTTAAACCTGAGTGGCAGGCCAGCGGGTGGCTTTGAGGGTATCTCCACCTGCGAGTAAAGGAAAGCAAGTAAAGCGATCGGCGGGGTACGACGCTCAAAGCCTCGGAAAGGAACAGGTTATGCACACGACACAAACAGCAGATAGAACGAACGGGAGAGAGCTCACATCGTATCGTGTCGTACTATTACATGTTGTACTGGCCGTTGTCCAGCAACATGTTTTCGCCCCCCACCGGTCCCTTTAGGGGTTCAAGGGTTAGAGAGCTCGTGCAGCAGCTGTCGTACGGTACGGCACACATTTATACATGAAACGCGCTAGAGCTCCATCCCAGCATCATCGTGGGGAGGGACACCTTTCGGTGTCCAGCTACTACAGCTCGGTCATATCGCAAGGCTCAGCAGCAAGCATAGCATAGGCGCACATACAACTAGTACAGCAGCGCGGGATGGGCAAAGATTATATGCATGTCAAGAAGTCAACTTCGGGGAGTTTCGAACTCATGCAGATGTCCGGGGGATGTGCCCTGGTCCTCCAAAAAGTTGCGCTCTACTTTTTCCTGAGCTGCTTCCGTGACGGAAACGGTATTTAAATTATCATAGCGAACTGTGAGCGTGCAGGGCAAACCCATGTTACAAACAACAACGCTATTTATCATAATTTTATTTTTATTTAGTAGGCCCGTTACCCGAATGGGTATCACTGTCCCGTCGGAGAGAAGGTAAGGATAAGTCAGGAATTGCCATACGACAGGACGGAGCTATATGTAGCAGTAGTAAGAATGCTCTCCGCTGCACGTCTTGACGTCTTGACCCAACAGATCTAGCTCCTCGTAGGTCCGCCTTTGTTGGCCTTGATGCAAAGTTCCTCATCTTTCAGTCTTTCAATGGCAATCTCTCAACTCCCGCTTCGTCCGCTCACCTCCAGAGAAACCCCGCAGCTGGAGCAGGTGCAGACCACTCTCCTCATCACAACCACAGCCGCTTCCATGTCATGAACCGCCGCGTGGTCTTGCGGTGGTAGGGGCTCCGAGTGCGGCTGCGGCGGTGGTGGCAGTGGCAACGGCGGCGGCAATGGCGACAGTGGAGGAGGGAGAGAGGGCCCCAACTGCCCATGCCGGACGTTTGACGGTGTTGCACCAGGTTGTAGCTGACTCTGCTGCTGCTGCTGCTGCTGCTGCTGCCGCCTTTGCTGCTGCTGCGGCTGCTGATGCTGTTGCGGCTGCTGCTGCTGTTGCGGCTGCTGCTGCTGTTGCGGCTGCTGCTGCTGTTGTGGCTGCTGACTTCGCTGCTGCTCCTGTTGCTCCTGCTGTCGCTGCGGCATATTCGGATACTGCGGTTCGCGGCTCAACGACTGTGATGACCGCAGCCGTGTTTGTTCTGACTGGAGTGCGGCCTGTATTGGCTGGCGCTGATGCGATTGCGGCTGTTGCGGATGACGACACCACGTCTGATCCGGGAGGCGTTGGGGCAGAGGCGGCTGCTGCCCGCCGTACTGGCTTTGCTGATGGGGAGAGCTTGCTTCCCGCCGGCCGCCGCTGTGGTGCGGATTGTTACTGTGAGGCCTGGAGTACGTGTTCATTGAGTGAGACGACGACGCGTTCATTGCGTACGGCAACAACGATGACGACGGCAATGCTGCAGGACCAGCAGGGCCAGCAGCAGCCGTAGAAGACAGGGCCACCCAAGGCCCGCCATCCCTGCCGCTCCCGCTGCCGCTGCCGCCGAAAAAGGCATTATCAGAGCCATCACATCCACCACCACTGGGCTTCAACAGGCGCTGCGGTGGCTGTAGCTGACCGTAGCCATCAGCAGTAGCGGCAGGAGCAGCAGCAGGAGCAGCGGCAGCACTTCGGCGTCCTTGCAAACCCGGTGGCTGTAGCTGCCGCTCTGTGTACTGCAGGCGATGCTCGGGTTGCGGCGGGAAGTACTGCGGAAGCGGCTGTAGCGGTCGCGGAGGGTTTTGCTGCTGGTAAGGTAATGACGAATGCTGTAGCTGCTGCTGCTGTTGCCCATCTAGCGGGCGGCCGCCTGCAGGATGCCAAGGAGGCTGCAGCATTGGTGATGGTGGTGGCGATGATGTTGCAATTATTTCTTCACCTCCATCTAGGGACAGCGGCCGCGGCGATGTCGCCATTGTTGAGACATCCATTGGCATCATCAGTGTAGATGTGAACTAACTTAAGCCAAGCCAAGCCAAGCCAAGCCACGTAAGCCACGTAAGCCACTATAGCTAAGGAGCATGCGCAAGAGGCGGCAGGCGGCGAGGGCGGTCACAAACAAAAATGGGCTGTGGATGTGGATGTGGATGTGGATGTTGCAACACAGCTGGTCACGGTGGTGAGTTGTAAGCGTCCTCGAGGCGCCGCGATCGAGGCAATGGATGAAGCGAGGCAGCTGATCACGCGCGAATTTGTAAGAGATACTTCTTGTGAACTCTCTCGCCCACCAAGGCAATGTTAGCCGATGAAATAGAGAGCCGTAGAGCACCGTAATGGAACGATTCGTTGGAAGGTGTAGTGCGTGCGTGCACAGAAAACGCACGCACACGTCATAGGAAGCCGACGGTTGCTTGTCCCTTCAGGCTGCGCACAGCAACAGGCAAGAAGAAAAAATGGCAAACATTAAGGGCTTAAGCATTCTTTAGGCATAGCATACAGGCGCCTGGGCGTCGGTAAAGCTGGCCCCAGGGCGGGTCGGCAACGCCGTGGTCTCCAAGACGAAGCCGCGACTTACCAAGGCACGGCCGAAGCCTGCCCGCGAAGGCCACGTCCATTGCGGCAGAAGCGCCAAGCTTTGCAACAGACTGTCTATATAGCCCTGGGCACTTGCAGAGTGGAGGTTTGCTAGGAACACGGCCGGGTATATGAAGGGATGAAGGTCTTGGACGGGCCCATGGATTGATGACATGCCGTATGATAGATGTGCCGTATGATAGATGTGCCGTATGATAGATATGCCTTAAATACTCTGGAGCCGAGATATTTCACTTATCCAGATCCAGGCGTTTAAAGACTTTACACGCCCCACGGTTCATACTGCGTACTTTCCACGTAAACTGGGGCTCGTTTTATTTGCTGCTGCTTAGTGTCGCTGCTGCTCTCTCCAACAGCAGTACATCCCGTCCAGCGTCAAGACGCTTTTGTGGCGCGGCTCTCCACCGCTCCTTTGGGCTGTATATTTGTGACGCGGAAACCGCCTTATGGCCTCTCCATCCCTAGCTCCGTGCCATGTCCAGCTCCATATCTTAATTATCCTGGCGTTTCACACTGTAGAGCGAGGCATTGAGCTGGAATAGACATGCAGCCTAGCAGCCACCGGTCGTCTGGTAAACCTTAGGAGGGCCCATGCCCTAGCCATAAAGTCTTTTTGAGTAATAATACCGGGACTTCCTCACGCAGGTATTTATGTATGTATGTATGTATGTGTGTATGTGTGGAACAGGGGGGTCATATCTTCACCCTCTGGTCGCTACCCGGCAGACCCTGCCTTCCCCGGTATTTCAGGTATTCATGCATTTGTATGTGCAAGGGTAAAATATAGCATTGTATGTGTATGTGTGTGTATATGTGCTTTACACATCCTTATGCTGCGTTACAACCTCGTAAAGGAGCGTAAGGCGAGTCCTGCCGTACGAGCCCTGAGGGGGTCAGGCAAGGGCGGCGCTAGACAAGGGCGCAAGGGCTGAAGTCCGAAAGGATCGAGCCCGCCGGTTGATTTGAAGTGGCGAATCAGTCTTGGGAGGAAGTGGTCTGGGCATGATGCACCGCGCCGAGGAGGTTGCTTACGAGTCCATCTTCACGGCCTGTGTGCCAACAACGAACTGGTGACTTAGACGCCGCGCCGGCGAAAGCCAAGCCATAATAAGTGTCGCAGCCTTTCATGCGGACATGTTTTCGTTGTTTCATTCATTGGCGCAAGCTGAAAAGTGAAGGCAGGCCCAAAATTTACTTTATGGTGGTCCACGCTGCCGTCTAGGGACGTCCCCAAGGGACAGTTTGCGCACTATGGCGCCTAAAATGAAGGCTCTTAGCTCGCAACCAATGAAGCCGGTGAACAAAATTAGTTGTATTATAACAGGAGGGCGATATCCGACATCATGTAAAAAAAATATATGCATGCGCGAACGACGAGGGAACGAGGGTCTTTCTCCGAGCGCAATGCATAATATGGTGTGCATACGGCACATGCCGCCGTACGAAATACACGCACATTAATATCATGTACGTCAACCTCGGCCTCCCCTGGCCGCTGTGAAACCCGCTCCACATTCTGGCCTTCTCCCCCCTTTTTTATCGCTGCGGCGGCCGGCATCACATTCTTGTTTTGCGCTATTATCCACACCACTGCCCACCACCGCGCGGACCCAGACAGCCACCTTGATAGGTCCGAGCCCCTCGCAAAAACTCGCACATACGTACATACATACATGATGCATTACACGCATACATACGTACATACAGAGGAGCACACATCTTTAACCCCCCGAACATACATACATATATACGCACACCATGCACCCACGCACATACATACATACATACATATATACAGACAAACGGATGGACAGACTCACTCTCCACGAGGCGCGAAATTATCCAAAAAGCTGCAATACCGACCCTCCCTTCCACCCTTCACACATCTCGCTCCCTCTTTGACGGCGGTCTCGTCTTCACTCCCTCCCTTCTGGTGTATCAGCCTCCATGGGGCCCTTAATCCGTCTTCCCCGCCTGCTCCATGCTCGTCTGGATTTTATTACGACGTGGGGCTCTCCGCTGCAGTTAGCCAGCGGGGGCAAAAAGGGATCTTCACCTCCGCCGCCAAGGTGTCGGCCCATATGCAACCCCCAGCTGTACGGCACTACGCGTCAGGGGCCCTTGTCGTACGGTGTCGTAAATAGTGCGCGCCAGTAAATACCCGTCCATCGGTTCGTTGATACGATAGTCCCCAACCGCACAAACGGATTGCGTCAGAAAAACTCAGACGGGCACGCAGGTAACGGCTAAGCACCAACGGATTCGGAGTCCACCGCGTTTTCCCCCTACAGCCTACTAAATGCCCTCACAAATCCTCTACCATCACCCCAAAAATCCAAGGACATGCGCAGTGAGTGCCTGCGTACACATTCGAGCATTGGAGCGTCGTACATTTTTACTCCAGACTCTAGAAAGGATGTACGACAGGAAAGCCCCACTGATGGCAAAATGATAGGAAGACTATTTTATGTCCGTATGTATGTGTGTTACACCTTTGTTGCGTTGCGTTACCCTCAAAAGGTGTAACGGATCCATGCGAGCCGAGCATGTCTGCGTATGGGTCTATGTATATGTGTGGGGAACAGGGTAAGGAATCTGAAACGGCCCCTAAGCGTTGAGAACAACGGCGATAAAATTGTGTTTCTGTTTCTCAAGTCTGAGACACACACCCAATAACCCGCCTCAACTGCCATACGCGGTAGAACAACTCCCATAACTGTCAACCGCCAACCGACCAACTGCCGGCCGGTCGACTCCGCGCGCCGGCACCGAAACAATTTGTTTAAACGCCAAACTCAACACCTCTTAATACTCGTCCTCCTCCTACTTCGTTTCCCGCCCTCCCTCACTCTCGCTCGCATACTAGTCGCTCAAGTATTATAATTATTATCCCAGCAGACGCAATCTGGCCATATGTCTCCCTAGACAGCAACGTCCGCGTCTCCCTGCGAGATCTATTAATATGTGCTCGGTAGGTATACAGATATTAAGGATTTCAACCCTGTTGTCGCAACCCCCCGCGTCTTAAACAAAACTTCCACAGCTTTCGACACACCCTCAATAAACCCTGTCATGGACACGCTCCGAAACCAACTCTATCGCTTACCTTAGGTCCCCGTGTGTGTTTAAAACCCTTCCCCCTTCCTCCTCCTCCTCCTCCCGCCCCCCATAACCAGTCAAGCCCGGCGGGCGACCCCAGAACCTACCTCTCCTCAAATCCTTCCATCCTCCCCCTTTACAAAAGAAATGTGAAAATGGTCCCCGCAGCTGCACCGCAGCGCAGGAAATAATAATCTAAAGCAATTTAAGGCACCAAACAGAGCGCGTCGCTTTAGATGCGAACAAGGGCAAACCAGACGCGACCAGTCCGACGCGGCCAGCAAGCTGATCGACACATCAAGAAAGGAACCCACAGCCACTGCCTTCAATAGAGCCCGGGAATGTCCGCGCTTCGGGGGAAACGTAGGGTCGGATCGGGGGTACTCAGGCCGCCAGGTACCTCTGCACTTTGACACCAGCACCGCCTTGTTGTGGATGCATAGATAGGGGTCAATGTAGGCAGGTCGATAAGTAGCCAAGGAGACAGACAGGAGGTTGTTACTTGTTTTGGCAACCCGTACCGAAACTCTTAACTCTGCTGACGCGCAAATGACAGAAGCGCTCCTCAAGAGCCGTTGGAAAATACTGTCCGTACATAACCCTCGTACACCTGTGGCCGAGGATGACAGAGCGGGTACGGAGAGAGGGGCCCCGTGGGCAAACAGGCCTCGCCGCCACCACCGTCGTGTCGCCGCCGCTGCCGCAGCACAGGGCAGCACCAACTGAGCGATATCCCCCACACCCGCCTCTCATCTAGTTTTACTCCCAGGCTAAAGCTTTGGGCAGGATAACGCTACAGCGCCCTCCCTGCTTATGCTGCTGCCCCTGGGAATCATGCATGCAACATACATACATACATACATACATACATACATACATACATACATACATACATACATACATACATACATACATACATACATACATACATACATGCACACATACACACACATGCACGCGCCCACAAGCAAGGTACGACTCCTCTCTCATTCGAAACCTAGCCAAACTAAGCGATCCCGCTTCCCGTTTCAGCGTCCGTACGACGACGAAGAGAATCCGTACATTGCACTACAAATCAGCTACACGCTTCGTACGACATATACAGCGAAGACACAAGAGCCTTTGGGCTCCCCGGCAGGCAATTGCCGTACGGTTCCTAGATGATGAACGCCGCCCTCCACCGCCCGCCTCCGCGGCCCACATATGCACATCCACACATACATACCAACCCCGCATGCACTGCCGCAACCCACGTCCTCCGAATAAATGCCACAGAGGCCCACGTCGTACATTCGGGACCGCCGTAACGCTTGACAGTACTGCGTAGAGCACAATGTAACGCTGGATTTACCAAGAAGATGTCCCACTCAGCCAACTGACATACAGACAGACAGATACAAAGAAATAAATAGACAGACAGACCGACAAACAGACACACGGCGGTTCAACTTTCTGTTCCCGGTATATACACCACGGGACGACATCCTGTGACGAGGAGCCCGTAGCGCCTCTCCCTCCCCCCCAATATCTGTCCCTGTATTTTGTCTGCCGTTGTGGTTGCTGTCGTTGTTGTTGTTGGCATCGTCGCGCTGGTCCCCCGGGTTCCTTTTTGTTGGGTGTCGTGTAGAACTATTTGTTATTTTGAGTTGGACGGGATGGTAAGCACAGAGCTGTGTTGTTTTCTCTACCCCCTGATTAGGGCTTATTCCCAGGGACTGACTCGATATCGGACCCCTTGGCGGCAGCCAGGAGGCCGCTGCCATTGCGTTGACCATTCGCAACGCGGCCGTTGTGTTGGTGGCGATGATGATGGTGTCCTCCGTGAGAAGCGGCGTCCTCCGCCAGCTCCCGTACAAGAGCCGGGTCGTCAATTTCGGGCGGCAACACCGCCTCGAACCGCACACAGGCCGGAATGTTCCTGCACAACAAAAAATTTGCGTTTGGTTTGTCGTTATCGAATTTATATACATCGAAAAAGACTTGAGGAAAAAGGAAGCGCTCGGAGAGCGCCAAATGAATCGTCCTAGTTGGAACAACTTTTTCCCGTAGCTCCGAGCCTTCATCTCGTGAGTCTTTTACCTCTCGTAGCTCCCTCACTCACCTGGAGATTAGGCGGGTGAGGAAACTGACGGGCCAGGCGCCAGTACCGATAGCGATGGACGCAAGCCACTCCTGCCAATCCAGCGGTTCCACCTGTACGACGTGCCGTACGGACGGAATTCACTCGGACGAAATTCATTGCAATACGCACAATTTACATGTACATGCTGCCGCAGTCGCACCAGAAGAGACGCCGTCGCCATCTACAGACCTCACGCCAAGCAGGGCGCCTTCAACCTCAACCACAGTATGCGCTTCACCTGCTGCTCCTCCTAATCCTCCTACTACTAGAACAACTGCACTCTCCAATATGCTCCCCGATAAGACAGAAAAAACCTGAGATACAATTGCGAACAATATACCTCCGCACAGAGCTGCACGGAAAGGTACTGCACAACATCGTACGACACTGTGCACATCGATCGATGCTTGCTTTGCACTTTGATTTTGTACCAAAAAACGTACTGTAAGGACACTGCACTACACGGTATTCGAATTTTACCTTGAAGAATAGCCCCAGGAAGTTGATGATAATCGCCTGTAGACCCATGGTGATGGTGATAACAGCCAGGAAGATCCAATTGCCAAAGAACCCCTCAAAGACATTGTACTCGTCGTTAATACGACGGGCGTTAATCTCGTTGGCAACCTGGCAGACGAAGAATCAAACATTTCGGTGTTAGACCGTTTTGATGTCGATTGTTGTTTTGTGTCGCTTTCTGAAATATATAAAAATGATATTCTCTTTCCCCTTCCAAAAAACACAAACATACCGAATCCTCCCCTGCCCCATAACCCATAACCCATAACCCCCTTGAAAACCCATGACCGCGGGGGGGTGGCGTAGTGTGTGTCGCCGTACAGTACGAGTGCGACATCCTGCTACTGCGACTACTGCTCCTGCTAGTAGAAGTAGCACCTGCGTGCAAATGAAGATGTTGAAGAGGAGGGACAGAGGTCGCTTGTACTCATCCTCGTTGTAGTCCTTGTATTCATCGTCCATGTAGCCGTCCACGGCCTTGGGAAGGGGCCCCCGGCAGCGAGTTGGCCGGCGGGCGGGCGGGGGAAAGGAGGGAGAGGCGGGGAAGAAGGGAGGGATGGAGGGAGGGAACCAGTGAAAATCAATAAAAAGTGATGATGAAACAAATATAACATTTTGGGTGGGAAGGGGGTATATGGGTAAAGATTTGAAGCAAAACACAGAACAAACGAACAGACAAACACACAATGTCAAAAAGCAGTGCTGCAGTACACACCAGCCATGCACTGAATTGCCGTACCAACCATTACATATGCGAGACTGCGCAACCAACTATTATTATCATTACTATTCCCACACTGCCTCTCTACCCCCGGGAATGAGGAGAAAAAACACAAAACATCATCATCATTCAGGGCTGGGGCCCCCAAATGGGAAATGAAGTGCAGAGGCGGCAAAGGGGAAGCGGGAAAACACACAGACACACACACCAACACATACCACACACACAAACCCAGCCATTCTCTCCCCCTCTTTCCCTCACTCCGCGCCGCCCCCTTCCTCGCCAAAACCCCAAAACCCTCAACCAGCCACCCACCTTAACCCACTGGAAGCGGTCGCAATCCGTGGTGTTCCTGCCGTACGCTCCTTTGCACAGTGCCGTACCCATGTCCGTCGGTACGGCAGCTGGCGCCCATTCATTCTTCAGCACGCAGGACCCTCCAGACGCGTTGTACGGAAAGCCGCAGTACGACACGGCGTTGCACGCGAGCTCGACGGCGTTCGGCAACGTAGCGGCCGTTATGTTGACTTTGCCTGATAGAGCTCGCCTGCACCGCACCGCATTACGACCACCAAAATCATCCGTACGAACATCCGTACAAGCACAAGCCACTGGCATCAGTACCAGCAACGACACGACAGAACAACACCTCCTTCCGCGGATGCATTTTGCCGGTTCGTGAAATCAAGCACCCCCAAACCCCGGCCCCCCATCCCGTTCAAATACACATACAAACGCATGCAAACACACACACACATACACAAGACACCCGATCCCACCAAGCAGCTCACCCTGCCTTGTTAGCGCACTCTAGCTGGTAGTACGTCTGTTTGTCGTGTACGAGATATCTCTCCAGACCCTGCGCGCGCGTGTGTGTGTGTTGGGGGGGGGGAGAGAACGTGGCAACATTGACAATGTGGGTCAAGGCTCGCTCGCGAAGAGACACCAGATATGAGTGGCACAGCACGCTGCCACAGCAGCTGCGCTGCGTGGCTGCAACTGAAACTGTACAACATCATGACGACTGTACGACAGCTTGATGCGTACGACACCGCGTCCCGCCCTCTCTCACACGAACTTCCCCCGTTTCAAACTCCACCTCCACCACCACCACCACCCCGATTCCATAACACCCAACACCAACCCGCACACAAGTCTCTGACCTTGGGGCCCATGGGCAGCAGATACAGGCACAGGAACATCCAGAGCATCTGGTAGCAGCCCTGAACGAAAATGTGTTTCGACATCTTCCAGTTGATCAGGTGTTCCGTACGGCCGTTAGGTCGTTGCAACAGAAGGGCCGGATGGGGGTCCTCCGTGGCCAGGGCCAGAGCGCCCATGGTGTCCTGTTGGGTTGGTTGGGTTGGTTGGGTTGGTTGGAGAGGGCGGGGCGAGCCCCTAGGTTACAAAATGAGGCGGCTAGGATAAGGACAAATTCCCCTCCCTCCTCCCCCACTCCTCCTCCCCCCTCCCCCTCCCCTTTTGCCCCTTCTGCTCCTTGGCAGCAGCTTCACTCGATCGTGGTTCATCTTTTCCCCCTTCCCCCCATCATCAATCAGTACCCCCACTCCCCCCTCCCCCCTCTCCCACTCCCCCCTTTCCCACTCCCCCCTCTCCCACTTCCCCCCTCTCCCACTTCCCCCCTCTCCCACTTTCCCCCTCTCCCACTCCCCCCTCTCCCACTCCCCCCTCTCCCATCCCCCCCTCTCCCACCCCCCCTCTTCCACCCCCCCATCCCCCATCCCCCACTCCCCCCTCTCCCACTCCCCCCCTCTCCCAACCCCCCATCCCCCATCCCCACTCCCCCATCCCCCACTCCCCCCTCTCCCACCCCCCCATCCCCCACTCCCCCCTCTCCCACTCATCCCGCCACATCTCCTCGCACCATGATGAGGTTGACCCAGAGCAGCTGCAGGATGTTGAGCGGCTCATGTCCCCCCGCAACAGCCCCGACGAAGGCGGTCACCAGCGCCACGAAGTTCACCGTTAGCTGCAGCACCGCATCAGTCAACAGACATACAGACACGCAGACCGCGTGGGGGGGGGGGGACATATGCGAGAGCAGCATGGGAAGCGAACACAGACCGGAGGGGGAGGGGAGGCAGGTTGACGAGGGGGTGACGTCTTGTTGAGGGGGTGGAATGGGGTTGCTACGGTTCTGTTTTCAATCCTTTTATGCCACCTTAGTCTTAGCCTCAGTTACGTTTGGTTCATCATCCATTTTCCGACTTGTCCAGGTTCTGCTGCCTTCGGCGCGCACTTGATGTCGGCGGCCAAAACTGCTTTCGGCGGCTAAAACCGGCACTCACTCACACAGGCCCACCTCTCCCTCCTCTAGCGCCGCCCACCTGGAATTGGAGGAACTTGCGGATGTTGGCGAACACGGAGCGACCCCAGAGCACCGACTTGACGATGGAGGAGAAGTTGTCGTCCAGGATAACGATATCGGCAGCCTCCTTAGAAACTTCCGTACCTGAAATCGTATGTATGGCACGGGAAAAAATATGCCTCCAAGAGCCCGTTTTTTTTTGGATTTGACTTTGGGTTCGGTTTTTTTTGTCCGGATATGCCTTTCCGCGCAGACATCGACGTTTCCATTTAATTCATTTTCTTTCCCTTTCCGCGTTCCTTCGTGTGAGCACTAATTTTTTTGATGAGCATTAACTAATCGTACAAAGTACGTGGTGAAAGGACGTCACATCGCTCACTTTCTTAATCGCCCCTTCGACAGCTCGGCGAACATACACACAGAACCAACCCGTTTTTTAAGCTTCCCGTTTTTTCCCATCTCCCCAATCTTCTCACCGCCATCGGCTTCCCCCAAAGCACAGTCCCCTCCCTTTGTCGAACCTTCCTGCATGCGCTCCCCCCTGGGACCCCCCCCTCCGTTGCTTTGGACACCAAAGGTGCTGTCAGGTGCCTGGGATGCAAGCCAGCTGTAAGTTGTGTTTTTCTCTTTCCTGCATCCCAGCATCCGTCCCCCTTTCCCCCCCCCCTC